CACTGCTCATCAACTACTCCAGGATGAGGAGAGCCCACCTGCCCCCACCCATCCTCATGACCTTCTACAGAAGCACCATAGAGAGCGTTCTGACCAGCTATCTATGTGGAGGCTGCAGTGTCGCAGACTTGAAGGAGAGAAGAGTGGTGATGACAGCAGAGAACATCATCGGAGCTCCTCTTCCCTCCATAAATTACATTTCATCCAAGCGCTGCGTGTCCCAAGCCCATCACATGATCAATGGCCCACCATTGATTGTTCTCCCTGCTGCCCTCTGGGAAGAGGCTTCGAAGCATCCGATTCAGGTCCAGCAGATTCCGAAACAGCTTCTTCCTCACCACCACCAGACAGCTGAACTATTGAAAGAAACTCATCATGTCACAGACTAAATCATGTCACAGACTCTGCATCCCACTGACAACGCCAAACCAAAACACTGCATCATTGCACCATATATATTTAATGCTCTGAACTTCCATATCAATGCATTTTTTTTGCACCATGTTTTTTTCTCCCACACTGTTTACATTTGATCACTGCTGCACTTTAAGACATGGAAATGTCATTTAAACTGCACAAAAATGAAATTTCGTTTTGTACAGTATACACTGTGTATACAAAATGAAAATAAAAGTTGTTTAAGTCTAAGTCTACACTGTAGACACAGCTGCCCAGCTACCATCAGTAGGCAAACTGGGGGAAGTGTTTTGCCCAAAAACATAAGGACACTGAAAGCCAGTGTTCTAGCTTGAACCAATAGCCCTTCATTTGCATGAAAACTCCTGCATCTGAAGCCACTGTCACCCTATGTGGCTAAGATGTTGCCTTCCCATAACAGCTACTTGCTTACTTTACAACTATTCTGTAAGGATGCCAATGGTCATCGTCCATTTTCAATTCTAGTGATATTATTGCTTCAATACCAGTCATTGTCTTTTGTATGTGTGAGTGGCACCAGTCCCTTGTTGAGCAAAACATGACCCATTAAAATGGTAAGATCCCCATACCTTGCACTTAATTCAATTTAATACAGTTTCTTCATATAGCACCTTTTCACAACACATATCATCTAAAGACACTTTATTGAGACAATTCAATAATCTCATACAGTCAGATTGGTAAAATGTTTTGTATTGAAGGAAAAGCAACTGATTGCAACCAGTCATTGACTTGCAGGATTTGCTCCTTATGGATGAGCATGAAGCGACAGTAGATATCGCTTGCAATGTGTTGCTGACTGTAAAGCAATCCCTCACACTGAGCATGCAAGTACAGTAGCAACCATGGGGAGGAAAAACTCCCTTTTAAGAACCTCCCTTTTAAGAAACGCAGTTTCTACTGCGTTCTGTTAAAGGCAACTTGAAATTCAAGGATAAAGAAGCAGACATACAAAGTAGAAACAATGATCCATAAACACTTTCTATGTTAGAAAAGGTAACAGTAAACTAGCTCCATATATGGGTATGGTTTGGAATAGAATAGTTTTGAAGATGAGCTCTGATGCTGACTGTATGTCAAAGGGATGAAAGAGCACATACAGTTATTCAAAGTTGTGTAAAGATGTCTAGGAGAGAAACAGGACTAAACACACACACACACACAAAAAAGCACAACTTTATCATTTATAGCCAAAGTTGTTGATGGCTGCTGCCCAGATTATATTTCTCTCCCAGATGGTATCACCAAACAGGACCATACATGATGAGGCTACCATGATGTCAGAAAGCAGCGAGAACAAAAAGTTAGGGTTTGAACTGAAAAATACTGTGCAAAGGTAGAATAGAGATAAAATGAAGCAGAATGATGAAAAGTTATCCCTATGTAATCCAGCAGTCTAAGCCTATAGCAGCAAAACTCAAGAATTTGCCCAGGATAACATGATCCACTCTAACTATAACAATCTTCACCAGCATATCTAACTATAAGCTTTATCAAAAAGAAAAGTGTTGAGCCTAGTCTTAAAAATAAACAGGGTTTCTATCTCATGGACTAAAACTGATAGTTGGTTGAACAAGAGAGCTTGATAATGAAAAGATCAGCCTCCCATTATAGTATAAGTCATTTCTGGGAATCATTAGTAAACCTGCAAATAAGCTATTCTTAATTAAGGTTTTCTTTTTTATATTTAAGAAAAAATCTACCAAAATTATTACTACTAAGATGGGACAGTTCAACAGACCTTTTGCTGTGTGTGAGTTTGGCAACTATATAAGAAAAAAAAAATCAATGATTATTTTATTTTATTTGATACAGCAGTAGACAGCTTTTCCAGATTAAGTATAGTTTCTGGAGGCATGTAGAGTGCTGTGTCCAGTTCAGTTTCCCAGCATTATGCCTCAAAGTATTCAGCTCGGTATCAACCAAAGAGCCAGCCTCCTATCGTTACATTTCTTCTTTTTCAAAATGACTAATTTGTCAAGTTTGAGGTATCTAGACTTGTTGAACCAGGAGACCCAACAGAGGACATGCCTAGCATCCCATCTATGCTGTTCAGTACAGACCCAAGGATTCAAACACCAATGTAGCATTAATGTGTTTCTAAATAGCAATCGTTACATTTGATTATTATTATTATTTGATTATTTTTATTATTAGCTCTGTTCTCTTTCTAAACCAAACCAGGTAAAGAGGCTAACAGGATCCCCTACCTCTTATTATTCCCTCAGGAACAATCACAGTCAATTAAGAATATATACCTAATTTCACCAAGTAATGTTTTACCTCTTGGATTTACACTTTGAATTAACATTTGTTTAAAAAAATAATTAAAAAACACTTCAAAATGAACTTCGGTTCTAAACCATCAAAACCATGCCGAACTGTGATATTATTGCATCATTTTATTGATTATGGATTTCAACCATTTTCATTTGAATGTCCTTCTATGTGTAGAGTTTCATTAGTTATGTGTTTGAACTCGAATTAAATGTATTTTATTAACAATTTTTTTATATTTTGAATGTGAATTTATTTTATGTGTGCAAAGTTAAGTGTTTGTCCATAGGTTGAGCTTGATTCACACTTTTCATTTATTGTCCTAACACCCATCCAGCTGGGTGTGTGTTCACAGAAGAACAAATAACAGTCTGAAAGCTATTTTATTAAATAACATAAAGTAACAGCAGCATTTCATTGCATATTGCAGGTATTCAGTTGTGCAAAGCTCTTCATGCATTTGGATAATGGATTGTCAAAGCATGGGATTTTGTCAAGTGCATCATTTTCCTTCTACTTTATACTTATTGTAACATTTGTGTTGTTCAAAAACATTTCTAAAATACATTTACAGTATGTATGTATGTATGTATGTATGTATGTATGTATGTATGTATGTATGTATGTATGTATGTATGTATGTATGTATGTATGTATGTATGTATGTATGTATGTATGTATGTATGTATGTATCTGATTGAAATGAGCAAAATGTGAAAAAAAAGTACAAAAAAAATACTCAGAAGTGATAAAAATATGTTTGGAACTTACTGTAATAGTTGTGGAGATACTTTTCTAATACTTTTAGACATGAATTTTGTTAAAGTTTTTAAATTTGTGCACTTTTAAATACATAAGTGACACTTTTGAATAATTTCAGGGAAAAAAAGGCTCCTAGGATACAAGATTGACAAAAATCTTTGCTGCTATCTAGTGGAAATTTGCCCCTATTACCTCATGAGGAGGATTTCTTATTCAAGTGTTACAACAGAACTCAAACTCAAAATGTTCAGTGATGTACAAAGTTTTATTCTTGAAGAAGATGAAGGTACAGTTACATCATCATATGTTGAACGTGAATTTGTTCTCTGATGTCCAAACCTCCTAGGTTGTTATTAAAGTAATGAAACACGACTTCTGGGTTACACTTTCAATTTTCAAATGTTGGGTGTTGGTTAGTCAAAACAGGAACAGTTCTTGCCAAAAATGGGTAAATGCTGTATATTCTAACTAAATCACATTTAACTGGAAATGTTTCTCCTGTATTCTGAAACCATAGGTAAGCAGAAACTGAAGATAAACTTTCCCCTCTTTTATGAAACATTATAAATTAAATGATTGATTCATGGACTTATAAAATGGATTCTGGTGTGAAAATAAGGCTTTGGGTGGTCAAAGATGGTTCACAGTTGCCCTGTTCGATTCTTTATTGCATTTCCTCTTTTGTTTCAGGACTGAATTAGCATCAGATAATCTACATGGAAGATCAATGCAGTGCAGGATAAACATTATCATGTAGGAAACAAAGACTTTCCTGGTTACGCAACACAGCTTTATCATTATAATTTGTGTGAAACCTATAAAAACCTACAAGCTGGGTCAAATTCAGCCACTAACTTTTGCTTATATTTATTTTTGCACATAAATTGTGCTCAAGTCTGTCCGAAAGAGTTTTGCTAGTAAAATTTTGCAAGCTCAGGCAGCATTTGCATGATTGGAATTGAGGCAAAGCCGTTCTAGAGCATTAAAAAAATTAGCTTGAAACCACTCATGCATGCATATTGTGTTTTACTTCATGTTTTATGCACCACTTTGTCTGTCTCTACAGAGCAGTAAAACAAAGTACTTGAGCTGACTTTTCGCTGCTGTTTTGATTTATAGCCTTTCTAACACAGTCCTAAAATCAACCATTTAACATGCCATGCAAGAGGTTCTCAGTTTTACGTTTGTGGAAATATTGGTATCACGTCAAAGGGAGTTTGATCTTTTTTTTCTGTTGCTTTTTTTTAATTAACAGCTTTGAAAGCAAGCTTTTTTTTTACTCTGCAGGAATCTAATCAATTACAAAAGCAAAGGCTTTGGGATCATAGTATCTCAAGTCATTCAAAGGTATAGAAGTTTACAAGACATTATGCTAACCAACTGATAAAATTTTCACAACTTTGCATTACACAAACTCTCAGTATTTTTAGATGTAAAATGTTCCCTACATAAAAGTGTTATGTGGTTTAAAATCACAATCTAAATAATGTTAAATAATAGCAAAATTTTTATAAAAAAAATTTTATACTTATTGTAAGTCATTACTTTTTCTACTGAATCCTAAACAAACTTAGGAATGGTCTCCATTCCTCCAATGTTTTTCAAACTGATGGGAAAAAAAAAGTCAGTGTAGTTGTGGTTTTGGATTCCTTAGCTGTGCCAGGAGACAATAATACCAAAATTAATTAGGTCCAAATTTAAAGGAGAGTCTGTTTGACAGTGTTTGTTATTTCCTTTCAAATAACTTTTTCTGTTTCATTTTAAGTTACAGGGAAGCACAGGCAACAGGGAGGCAGGAAGATACCTTCTGAGTCATTTTAGAATAATCTCCAGCTATTTTATCCACACAGCTGGACCAATGATGAAGTTTTACATTTTTTTTACCATCCCTACCAACTGCCAACTCAAAAAATCTCTGTTAGTACTGACTCTTAATAATAGGAACTCTCAGTAGAGGGACTTTTTTCCCAATCTTTCATGATCTACAAATGTATGAAGCAATTATCTTTAATCAATGCATGTGAAATGTTTCATTTTAAACATGAATTGTGAGAAAACGTGACCTCTTTTATTTCTATGAGGTTATTTAATTACCACATATAGTAATATAACCGTTTTCATGATGATCACCCTCTTATATGAATCCACTCAGAATTGACTAAAACATCATTCATCATCATTGTGGACACTACGTTGGTTGGATAGGAGGTCAGATGATCTCATCTTGGCACTGATCTGTTACCACCATCCTGGTTAGCCGTAGCAGAGCAGTCCTCTGGCCTACTTCAGTCCTGGCCAGCCCCTCTCTCCACATGAGGCCTCTCCAGTGAAGGACAGAGGTGATGGAGCATACAGATCAGAGTCTGTATCTGACTCCCCTTCAGCTATGAATGGTCGGACCCTTGTGCAGACAGAATGTACCCCTCCAGCTTCAGCCACTGCTCCACCTACTCCTGAGCCTGTAAAGAAAGAAGGACCGAGGAAGTCCTCTTTGGCCTGAGAGATGCTGAAACCACTGAAGGAGCGCTCCAGCTCCTCGTGGTCAACAGATGGGATGGAGAGCGAGGTGTCGCTCTCCACGGCGGTGGCATCATGCTGACACCTGTGCCTCCTGTGGCGCCTTCTGCTCCGCGAGCTGCTCTCCCTGCCGCTTCCGCACGGGCCTGAGGAAGATCTATCATGCACTGGAGCAGGGGGAGGCGGAAGACGAAAGACAGGGGGCGACTGGTCACCAGCAGCTCCAACTGGTGAAGGGGTGTTGGCCAGGCTGCTGCCCCAGGCGGGCTGGCTGAGGGGATGCTGCAGCTGGTGCTGCCAAGAAGTAGAAAGGCGGCTGTTGCTGCCAGATGGAGTGGCTACTGACCTTGCCATGGACTGATCACACAGAGCATCTTTCTTTTCCATAGACCCATGACAGTGTGAGGAGTCTGCTGATGCTGAACACGTCTTGGCTCTTTTTTCCTCCATCCCTTCCTTCTTTTCGTCCCTCTCCTCCTTGGTTCTCTCTGGGCTGTGGTAAGGTGGTGCTGGATATGGCTCTTTGGAGTTGAAAAAAGCCTCTGTTTCTGAATGAGTGATGCCCATACGCTGCACATATACATTGACGAGGAAGTCAAGTTTCCTATCCATGCAGACTACCTACAGGAAGATATAAAGAAACATGTTGTACAATTTAAATCAGGACTGGAAAGACTTAAACAGCCAAAAGAATAACTTTAGGTAAAAATACAATGCTTGTAGAACTGCCATTATTCTAAGGTTTATCTCTACCAGCTTTAGACCATAATCTATCAAATGGTTGTAGTAAATTAAATAACTATGTATTATACTTAAATGTTTTCTGCATTTTTACAAAGTAGCATAAGGTCAGTCAATTGAATTAAGAGCGACTTTGAACCATTACTTTCTATTGGACTTAAATCTGGACTTTGGCATTGGTTAACTATTTGGGTACACTCATTTTGTCATTCCTTGCTTGTTTGGTTTACTATAGATTAATATATTTCTCATTTGAGTTGCCACTTCCTGGGAGGCTGTCATTAGTGAGGCCAGTAAAGGAAAGGAGGCCCCAGCTGCAAAGGATGTCCTCAATTAAATGGAGGCCTAGTTGGACTCTTCCACTTGCTTTTAGAAGGGGTGAAGGAAGGGGTGAGGTTTCTGTATTTGATTTTTTTTTTCTATAATTAAATTTGGTGTAAAGTGTAATATTAAACAAAAATTTGAAAAAATTTATTCTGAGAAAACAGCACAGTTACTCTCAAAACCTTTTTGAAAGAGGTTTCTGAATGTTTCACTCATACAAAACATATTTTTTCTATTTTTACTCAGGCTTCCTCCCACAGTCCAAACACATGAATGTTAGGTGGCTTCTCTAAAATTTTCCTTAGGTGTGAGTGAATGGTTGTGTGTCCTGTTTCTCTCTGTGTTGCCCTAAGATGGACTGGCGACCTGTCCACGGTGTACCCCGTCCCTCGCCTGTAGACAGCTGGAGATAGGTACCAGCAACCCCACTCGGGATAAAGCGTGTCAGAAAATGGATGGACAGATGTTATTGGTGTTGAACCTCTGATCTCTTCTCAAGTTTACAATACAAACAGACCTTTTTGTTCTCTGTCCAGAAAAAATAGCCTTATTTAGGGAAGCAAATGTTACACAACCTGTTGGAATCTACAACTTATCGATTAAAGAAACTGCAAAACATGCCCTGATGAAAATGACTTAGTTTTAAGCGACAAGTTAAATTTTCAAGATGACAATTTCTATGGTTTAATATGATAAAAGGCAAAGGATGCCCTCATTGCTTATATGGAATGTTGGTATTTGTGAAAAATTTATGCTAATAAAGAGTTTATATGGTTTTCAATTATCACTCAGTATTATTCTGCAGTGCAATGGAATGCATTAAAAAGAAAAAATGCAAAAACCTGCATGTTTTATCATATAACTGTATTTAAAAAGATTATCTATGAATTTATAGTTATTAAAAGTGGTTGTGAAAGCTGCAAAGAGCCACAGACCCCGGTGGTGGGTGCCGTTTCTAAAAAGTTTGCAGATAAGCCATTTTCATTTCCAATCCCCATTTACAGATTCAGTTCAGAATGTTAGAAAGCTTAGAGTGAAATATTGCTTTTATAAACTTTATATGGCTTTTATACCGACAGACAGACAGTTTCATACCTGTTTCTCCACTTTGACTAGCCGCCCCATCATGCTCTGATCCTCTGCAGCGTCACCTTCCGCTTTGGTACCTTTACCAACTATTTGGTCAACTCTAGGGTTTAAAACAGGGTAAGTAATATGTGGAAAACAATCAATGTAAGCCAGAAAGCTCCAAAACTTAGCCTTAAAAACTTTGGCAAATGCAAAAATGTGGATGAGTATTGTGGATGAATCTGACACATAAAATGAAAACTGAAATTTGTCTTCAAATGCTACATAAATTATGGTTTTTAGAAAGTTGTGGCTAGTAGTGAAATGTGTGGATGCATGCATTATTGGACTTAGAAGGAGCAAAGCCTCCAAAAAGACATATATAGTCTGGGCCCAAAATGCATCACTTGGCATGCCCTTGCTATGCTGATCATGCTTCATTTCCATTGCATCCTACGGGGGGAGTCTCTTTATCCGTCTCTCCACTAGGAGAACAAGCATCTAGCACTTCAAACCCCTGTTGAGTGAGGCCAAAAGATCAACTTATGAACATAAGCGAACAATTTTTTACTTAACCATTTAGTTTTTCTTCTCTCCATGATAATATACAAATCAATACTATATTTTAACAAAAAAAAAATCCAAAGATTGATGCCTTTTATTCATTAATTTTATATGTCCTCCAAAGTAGCTTACAAGACAAATCAAAAGGCCTAAGCTCAAAAGGGGTCCATCAGTCAAAAGGATAAAGCAGCATGTATCTTCTTTAATATTTGGACTATGGTACACAGAGAGTAAATGCTGATAAAATGGTCTAAAGGTGCAGTCTATTAACCTAACCTAGGACCTTCAGTGGACTTCTTATGGCGAGGTGTTGTTGGGGGAGGGGGCCCCACAATCATATCTATCCTGGCAAGGCACACAGAGACGATATGAGTGCAATGCAAAATGAAGCAAAGTGTGAATCACATCAGCTATGGAGTTTCAATATATTCCACAGACACACACAGGGACACATGGGGAGTCTGACTCATGACTGCATGGATGAAAAAGTGCACTTCACCGAGGGAATATATTTTCTTGTGCATGTTAGACCTTCGAGGCTTCGAGAAGGCTGATAGAACTGATACAAAGAAACACGACAATGTTATACTGAATACATCTTGTGAGGGAGTGAATATTGTACTGTGATAGTGGATATAAGCTACAAAGTATAATACATATCTGAATACAGCACATGTAGCTGGACAAATGACAGAGGCAGATCAATGGTGTGTGTGTCACAACATGTGTGTATCCACTGCATAGTCCATGATTCAACTCAATCATAATACTAAACATATAAGCTGGCTAAAATTGTTAGCTTCACTTGCCTGGATTGTAGATTCTTAATGCGACACAACATATCGAGGTGACCTGCAGAATACTGTTCGATGACGTCCATGACATCATAAGGCCTCAGACTCTCTTTGAATCTCCTCTTGGACACCAGAAACTTCATGACACTGTGGAGGATGACAACTTGTTTTCACATACCATGTGACACTGTTTATTTATCAGACACTCACAGCAGTCATTTGGAATCAGCAGAGCATCTTCACCATAACACTGCTATGCTAAAACCCCTCAGTCAGAACTAACAGACTGACACAGCTTGTAAAATATCTGGACCCTGCATTTTAATTTTCCTTTTAGGAATAGAACAAATTACCTTTTTTGTTGGCTTGTTGTGTAAAACTGATATAATTTTTATTTGCTCTAAAGCTATAGTAGACCTATCATAGTAGTCATCAAAGGATGATACTCCCTGTGGTTCAGGGGTAATGCTGAGAAACTGCACTATAGTATTTTTTTATTATCAGAGAAACCACAAAGTGTAGTTTGGATAAGCCTCCAGCTGATCCAGAATGCTGCAGCCAGAGTTCTCATGAAAACTGAAAAGATACATTTCTCCTTCTTTTGATTCCATTCATTGGTTTCTTGTTAAATCCAGAATATAATTTAAAATCCAGCTTCTCTTGTATAAATCCCTAAATAACCAGGCTTCATCCTATATCAGAGATCTGATTGGTCTTTATGTTCCTGACAAAGTACTTCACTGTCAATCTGCACGTTTACAAGTGGTTCCTAGAATTTCTAAAAGTAGAATGTGAGGCAGATCTTTTAGTTATCAGGCTCTTTCCCCGTGGAACCAACTACCAGTTTTAGTCCATAAGCCAGACACCCTGTCTACTTTTAAGGCAAGGTTTAAAACTTTCCTTTTTGATAAAGCTTATAATTAGAGTGACTCGGGGTGTCCTGAGCTATCTCTATAGTTATGCTGCTTTAGGCTTAAGCTGCCAGAGGACATATGGGCCACATTTGATCATTCTGCTTCATTCTATCTCTATTCTCCAATTAAGCAATATTTCTTAGTTTAAAGCTGAAGTCTGTAAGTTTTTAAAAATCACTTTTTTGTCATATTGGCTAAAACTGTCCCTATGCCCAGACAGCAGTACATGTGATATGTAACCTGTGAAAAAAACTGCTTCAATTGGTCCCACCTATTGCCTGTATTGCAATCTGGAAAGAATATTTCGGGACGAGACAAAACAACCAATCACAGCCAGAGGAGCGTCTGATGGAGTGTCAATCAGAGCTCACACACGCTGAATCCCGCCCCCTCCCTCTCACCGCTGAACCTGCCGCTGCCGCCCGGCTGCCGCAGTCAGGAGGACGCGCGTGGAAGTCATGGCGGAGCGGCAGCCACCAGTGAAAGAGAAACTGCCCTTACTGCCCCTGCCGACAACTGCTTACACGGCAAAGACTTCAAAAAAGAAGATGTCAATGGAAGAGCTGCCGCGTACGCTGCTTGGACGCTTCTGGTCGCATGCGGTAGCCGCGCAGATGATGTGAGAGGGGTGGAGCTTGGAGGTGGGGCATGAGTGAAGCAGAGAGGGTGGGGGAGTGGGGTGGAACCTGTTTTTCTTCAAATTTTCAGTCGAAGTCTGCTCTCTTCTCAATGTTACAGACTGCAGCTTTAATCTCTAAATCTATGCTTTTTCTGTTTTGTCTCATCATAGCAGCTTCATCTGGCTTTGTCCTGTTTGGTTGTGAAACCATCCTGGAGGAAAATATCCGTTTGGCTGCTCCATGAACGCTTCCAATTATAGATGAGAGTTGGGTCAGTTTTTTAGTGTTTAGTCCTATTTCCCTATTAGCTATAGGATTAGCTCTTACTTTGCCATACGGTATGCCTCATCTCTTTTGACATGAATACCAACTTATAGCTGATCTGCTTGACTGTTGGACCATGGAACTAGTTTACCGCAACCTTTTCTAAAATAACGAGTATTCATGATTCAGTGCTTCTGTGTTCCGTCTGTATGTTTGGTTCTGTCTCCTCGAACTCCAATTTGACCTTGGTAGCTTAACATTATATAATTAAAGGGAATTGAACTCAATTGAATTCTTTGATAAATTACATCCATTTAATTCCTCAGATAAACACTGTCAGCGCTAAGACTGCAAGAATGCATGTTTACCACATATCAAAATGGGTGAAAATGTAGTTATTCCTAAACATATAATAATAATTATTATTATATTTTTAAAACATAAAATAATAATTATATAATAATAATCGGTTGTTCCAAACTTTTGGCAAAAATTGCCATCAAGAATTTGTCAATATGCCCACAGTGCTTCACGTATTGTTCTGGTTTCTTTTGTCACCTGCTGGATTAGTCATTGTTGTACAATTCCTGGAACAGTTTAACATTGTTTCATGTTTGCTCCATTTCTGGATAATGGCTTCCACTGTGTGTTTGGAGTCCAAAAGTCGTAGAAAACACTTTGTTAAAAAATGTTTTTTTTTAAACTCTTCTTAAATTTCTCTAGATCAGGTAAGGTTATGTGTTGCCTTGTGTTATGTGTTGCCTTGTGTTATGTGTTGCCTTGTGTGATCTTTTAACCCACTTCATGTTGTCTGACAGGTTTTATTTGAATGTTGTCTTGATTCTACAGGCCTGACACCAATCATATTAGGGTGAAGCGAGTGAAATTGAAAAAAAGATTTTTGTATCATAATTAAGGGGCTGCCTTGCAGCAAGAAGCTTCGATGTTCATTTCTTTCTGCATGGAAGTTGCAAGTTCTCCCGGTGCATGCGTGGGTTCTCTCCTGGTTCCCCGGCTTCCTCCCACATCTAAAAACATGACTATAAGGTTAATTTTCTTTTCTACATTGTACTTAGGTGTGAGTGTGCATGGGTGTGCATGGTTGTGTGCCCTGCAACAGACTGGAGATCTATCCAGGGTGTATCCCGCCTCTTACCTATAGACTAGATGGAGATAGGCTCCAAGCCCACTGTAACCCTGTCAAGGACTAAGCAGGAGATGGATGGATGGAACCATAACAAGTTCATGATTTAGAAAAGTTGCTGTCGGGACAGTGCAAGGTGCACTAGTAGAACATGTGTCTGATGGATATGAAATCTGACTGAATTGGGTTAAATTCAGTTTAACTCAAAAATACTCTATCCCCAAAGGGAAACTAAATGTTGTTATTACTCATAGGGATTTTTTTGTTAATGAGTTGTTCTGGATGCTAGTACTAGTGTAGGCAGGAAGGATCTGTGTAGTGATCTGTCTTAAACCTGATCCAGAGAAGCCTCAATCTGAAGACAGTCTGCTGTTGTTTAACAGTACAATGAATGAATGGATGGTCATTGTTGTATATAAGGTGATTATGTTATAAATATTTATTTTTTTTTTTGTAAAATTATCTCCAGAGGTTCCAGAGAAGTTCCTAAAACAGAAACTGCCAGCTTCCTCAGCTTGTTGAGCTTCCTAAAGTTATTTGCTTAGAGGCTGTTACCATAGCAGATGATTGCAGAGAGATCACAGTCTTCACAACAGACTTATAGAAGACCTGCAGTGTCTTGCTGTAAACACTGAAGGACCCAATCTTTCTTAAGAGATACGGTTTTCTTTTCTAATGATCTAGATAGCATTTGTCTTACTCCAGTTTTATCCAAAATCTACAAACATCTCATTTGTTTTACTCACATTCATGATCAAATGATTTGTTTCCACACCATGCAACAAAGTGATTCAGAAGATCTCTATATTTAGCTTACTGCCTATCTCCGACGAACCCGACAACTGTAGAGTCATCTTAGTATGACAGACATTCTGACACCTGCAGATGACAGAACTCTGTCTTGTAATGGAAGTAAGATGTATACAGAATAAAAAGAAATGGTGAGAGTACCATCTGCTGTGCTGCTGATGACTTGATTAGACCTATAATAGTCCCTGATAGAGCTGTCTCTGTTCTAATTTCTGACATCAAGACTTTTGCTTAAATTTCTGCCTATTTCCCTTCTAATAGTGTCAATAAAGGTCACAGAGTCTTAAAAAAACAGGGGTATGAAGTAATTGAACACCACAATTCCCCATCGTGGGACAATAAATTGATTTTCTTTTCTATTCTATTCTAATATTTAAGGCTGGTTTGCTTAGCTTGTGTTCTCCCAATTAAAAAAATCCTCCTTTAAAAGCTGTCCACATTTCTTAAAGTTATTTTCATTTAAATTTAAAATTTGATTATCTGAAACATTTAAGAATGAAAAAAGCAGAAGAGACCTGTAAGACATCAAATTCGTTTTTAGAGGATTACTAGCCAAACTAGGGACTCTGTGCTAGATCCATTAGAAGCACGGGTCACCAACATGGTGCCCCTGGGCAGTAGGTCACCCGAAGTACCACATGATGCGCCCACAAGACTGGACTAATAAGAAAAAGCTTAACCTACTAGTAAAATTCATTTTAAATGTTATTTAATTGTACTGTTCTTTTTTTTAATCACACTTGCATTTACAAAGATCTGAAAATCTTGCGGATGTGAACTGGAAGGACCTCAGGATGGTGTCAGATACTTTAGCTGGAAAATATGGGCTTTTTTTGTAATTACGAAAAAAAAGATAAGGAATCTCTGTGTGGTTCCCTCTGTGTGAGGCGTGGGCTATTTGGGGTGGGTCTGGGGTGTCTCACTCCTGCTATTAAGCATATCTTCCTGCTGAAGAAGCCTTATAAACCCTATATACTCAAACACACACATGTATACATAAAGGATGTAAGTTTAACGGATGCACAGTTAAGCTTAATACTAAGTTGCTGCTTCATTATACATATTTCTAAATTTTATAGGTGTTTCCTTTTGTTTGTATACTTAACTAAAGTCCATGAGATACTTCAGAATTACTGTTTTTTTCTTTATTCTCTTTGCTCTCTCTTACTCTTATCCCTCCCTTTGTCACCTACCTTTTTGTCTCCAAATCCATTTCATACGAGTTTTCCCAGAGTCACTTAAAATAAATTTTCAACTGACATGATCTATTTGCAAGCAAATCTGTTGGGCTATAATTCAGCTCCGGGATATAAACTTTTCAATGCTATATCGGCAAACAACACATAAAATTAGGGAAATCTTTGGCAAAGTGCATCCTTACCAAACAGCCCTAATTGTAACCTTCAATCCTGGAGGTAGTTCCTGGGTGAAAAACTCACAGTGGCAGCTCTTATCATCACCAATTTCCTCTCCAGGGAGGCTTGCCTCTGGAAAGCAAAGAAAAACAGACTCACAGGGAATATTTTAACTTGTGGTCAATAAAAGACAGAAGCAAAGTGTTGGTCTTGCTTTTATCGTTGGAGGTTACATATTGACTTAAAGCAGTTTGCCTAGTACTGTATAAAGGGAATGAGCGAGCTTTGGGGATACAACAGAATAAAGGACCAGAGTAGAGCAGAATTGAAGGATAGTGTTGATGTGATAAAGAAGCTACTGAGACCTTTAATGACAAGTAGTTTCTTCCCACTACCAATTTTTGGTTAAGCATTGTCAACATTAGATTTGGCATGTTTGGATTAGCCATGAAGGCTAAGCTTAACATGCTAAAAGTGTCATAAAGGTGTCAAGACCTATTTGCAAAATAAGTTGCAATTCTTATGGTGAAAGTGAGGTCTTTTCATGCAAAATAAAGCAGGACTTTAGGCTGTAACATATCTGGGTCAATTTTTTTTTTTATCTTAATGCTTGACTTGAACCCTTTTTTAGCTTAGCCTCCATTTACTGAGGAAAGAACAAGCTTAATTTCTAATTGGGTGTTTTGTCATAAATCTACCGAGTAGAGGTATTTAAATCGTCCAATGCTCAAAGCTATACTCATGCTTTACAGCCTCCAGTCAAAACAAGGAGAAAATAAACATAATAAAATTATATTGGGGTTCATGTCAAGTCCACAGATTTTAGCATGCAGTTTTCTCAGACCAGGTATGGCCAACTATTTTTTTTGTACAATTTCCCTTTAGAAGCCAACACATAAAAAATATTCCCAATATCTTACTTATTAAACCTTCAATTGCTGCAAAGAGAAGAAGAGAGACATATGGGGAAAAAAAGATTTGTTATGGATTCTATAGCTGGATGACAATGGTAGACAAATCAGTTGAAAACATGGAAGCATGTAGAATCCACTGAAAAGATTCTGCTTCAGGGTTAAATAGCCTTTTCTGTCTTATCTTGATTAACCTGGTTTCCAAAACATTGTACACTGTAGAAGATTAAATCAGAGGTAAAACTAAAGACATGTCATGGGGACTTGTCTAACCTGGAGAACTCTTCAGTCCAAAGTCTTCGTCCTGCATTTCAATCAGCACTTTAACATGTCATGAGGTGAAAGAAGAAAACAAACAGCTGATGAGAGTTGATTCAAACTTTTCAACAGAAAAGGTAAAGAGATGATGGAGAAAAGGTAAATTTGTCGACAGTGATAGTGTCCTATATGATGCATGGGTGCTTCTGTTTAGCACAGGAGTCACCTGCCGTTTCTCACCTTGAAAATAACATGTTTAATTTATGTAAATCCTGCTCAATGTTTTTTAAAAGGTATAAACTATTAGGCATATATATATATATATATATATATATATATATATATATATATATATATATATATATATATATATATATATATATATCTCAGATATATATATATATACCGTATATATATATATATATATATATATATATATATATATATATATATATATATATATATATATATATATATATATATATATATATATATATATATATATATGTGTGTGTGTGTGTGTGTGTGTGTACAGTACAGACACATCTTCTCATTCAGGTGACTACCTCGACCTCTGACTACCTCTCAAGAGGAGGCAACTTTAAAGAGCCTAGAATATAACAGATAGTTTCAGTTTTTAAAATAAATTAAATATATAATTCCACATGTGTTAATTCATAGGTTTGATGCCTTCAGTGAATTGCCAATATTCAAACAAAACTCTTTGAATGAGAAGGTGTGTCCAAAAAAAAAATGAATATATATATATTGATTTGTATGATTTGGAACTCTTTCCATTTTTAAAGAATCTATATGGAGTGACTTTTGATCCATCACTGTTTTAAGCAAAAAAAAAATTTTAAAATAAAAACAGGTTTTGTACATGAAAAAATAAAAAATTCATTCCAGAAATTAAAATAACAAAAAAATAAAATCTTCTTTGAAAATGGTTGTTATATTAACTTTGCTGTTTTCTCACAATTTGTTATTTAAAAGTTCTTTTAAATTTTTGAAATGTTTTTTTAATATTTGAGTTTTTTGTTTTCAAATTTCAAATTAGATTTTTATAGTGTTTTTCTTTTTTTGAATTTAATATTTAAAAATTTTATTTTTTAAAATTTCAATCTTCAAATTCTCTTTACCTTTGGGGATGGGCTTATATCTATCTATCTATCTATCTATCTATCTATCTATCTATCTATCTATCTATCTATCTATCTATCTATCTATCTATCTTCTTATAGATATGTATATATATATAGCCTATATATATACAGTAATTATACATATATATATAATTATATATATATATATATATATATATATATATATATATATATATATATACACTACCATTCAAAAGTTTGGGGTCACATTGAAATGTCCTTATATTTGAAGGAAAATCACTGTACTTTTCAATGAAGATAACTTTAAACTAGTCTTAACTTTAAAGAAATACACTCTATACATTGCTAATGTGGTAAATGACTATTCTAGCTGCAAATGTCTGGTTTTTGGTGCAATATCTACATAGGTGTGTAGAGTCCCATTTCCAGCTACTATCACTTCAGTGTTCTAATGGTACAATGTGTTCGCTATTTGGCTCAGAAGGCTAATTGATGATTAGAAAACCCTTGTGCAATCATGTTCACACATCTGAAAACAGTTTAGCTCGTTACAGAAGCTACAAAACTGACCTTCCTTCGAGCAGATTCAGTTTCTGGAGCATCACATTTGTGGGGTCAATTAAACGCTCAAAATGCCCAGAAAAAGAGAACTTTCATCTGAAACTCGACAGTCTATTCTATTTCTTACAAATGAAAGCTATTCCATGCAAGAAATTGCAAAGAGATTGAAGATTTCCTACAATAGTGTGTACTACTCCCTTCAGAGGACAGCACAAACAGGCTCTAACCAGAGTAGAAAAAGAAGTGGGAGGTCGCGTTGCACAACTGAGCAAGAAGATAAGTACATTAGAGTCTCTAGTTTGAGAAACAGATGCCTCACAGGTCCCCAGCTGGCATCTTCATTAAATAGTACCCACAAAACACCAGTGTCAACATCTACAGTGAAGAGGCAGCTGCAGGATTCTGGCCTTCAGGGCAGAGTGGCAAAGAAAAAGCCATATCTGAGACTGGCCAATAAAAGAAAAAGATTAAGATGGGCAAAAGAACACAGACATTGGACAGAGGAAGACTTGAAAAAAGTGTTGTGGATGGATGAATCCAAGTTTGAGGTGTTTGGATCACAAAGAAGAACGTTTGTGAGACGCAGAACAAATGAAAAGATGCTGGAAGAATGTCTGACGCCATCTGTTAAGCATGGTGGAGGTAATGTGATGGTCTGGGGTTGCTTTGGTGCTGGTAAGGTGGGAGATTTGTACAGGGTAAAAGGGATTCTGAATAAGGAAGGCTATCACTCCATTTTGCAATGCCATGCCATACCCAGTGGACAGCGCTTGATTGGAGCCAATTTTATCCTACAACAGGACAATGACCCTAAACACACCTCCAAATTGTGCAAGAACCATTTAGAGCAGAAGCAGGCAGCTGGTATTCTATCAGTAATGGGGTGGCCAGCGCAGTCACCAGATATGAACCCCATTGAGCTGCTGTGGGAGCAGCTTGACTGTATGGGAAGCAAGAAGTGCCCATCCAACCAATCCAACTTGTGGGAGCTGCTTCTGGAAGTGTGGGGTGCAATTTCTCCAGATTACCTCAACAAATTAACAGCTAGAATGCCAAAGGTCTGCAATGCTGTAATTGCTGCAAATGGAGGATTCTTTGACGAAAGTAAAGTTTGATGTAAAAAAAAAAATCTTATTTCAAATACAAATCATTATTTCTAACCTTGTCAATGTCTTGACTCTATTTTCTATTCATTTCACAATGTACTGTATGGTGGTGAATAAGTGTGACTTTTCAGGAAAACACAAAATTGTTTGGGTGACCCCAAACTTTTGAACAGTAGTTTATATATATAAATACATATACATACACACGTTAATCAATGCAATCTATGTCATTTCATTAAATGAGTGAACAACTGTATTTTTCTGAATGTAACATTCAGTATTACCAAAAATGATTAAAAAGACAAACTTTGAAGTCTAAAGTCGAAACAGCATGTTCAATTCAGATCTGACAACACAACGATTGTGTCTTACACATCCAAACAGACCAGAACCACTTGTTTTTTCCAGTATTGTAGTGCATTGCAGCGTACTGCTGTGACAGACTCCACCCAACTGCAGAGGCGTAGATTAGGGATTGGTTCGGCAGTTACACTTTGATGAACACTAGCCATCCCCCTCTTCTTTTCCATAACAGACCAGAACACTCCACTGGGAATAGATCCTTTGGTTCATGTCTGACCCGATGTGCTTCTTTATGCCTTTTCCCCATTTGAAAATACCAGTCCCACTTTTAGAGAAGGTCTGCAGACAGTGCACCTTCCTGACCCCTGTGGCTCCACAGTAGCCAGCAAAGGGATGGTATGCAATGTAAACTTTAGAATGAATCTGTGATTTAACTGATATATGTAGTAAATATAATATTTATTGCTTCCTAATATGAAATAGGTCAATTCTATCATGTTCAGTTAAAATATACCAAGAGCAATTCATCCATTGTTCTAGATAAAAATCACTTTAAAGAATCCACACTAACTTCATTTCAGCAGCACTCTAATGCTTGGTTTTTGTTTAGTCATATTGGGTATTTTGAGTTGTTTTCTTACCATCTGAATTTTGGCGTGAGGTGCTGCCCCGGACTCTGCTCCAAGTCTTGGTGACCTTGCCTGGGTTGGCTTCAGCCCCTTCTTCAGCCCCGGGGGAGAGAGCTTTCCCTTTGACCACAGGGGCTTTGGAAGGACTGGGAAACACCTTGTCCTTCAGGCTGGCTTTCCGACTATTTACAGCAAATAACAAAAGATAAATAGTTATTGAATGTGAATCATTTATTGTTTTAGATAATTCCCAAAATCAAGTCAGTGCCTCATTTGTATTTATCATGACTTTACTTGTAAATCTTTTTTTTCAGAGTTTAGCACTTTTGACAATTTTCCTTACCTCCGAAGAAAAGAAAAAGGCCAATCTCCTACAGTAGAACGAGCCATGTCCACATAAGAGCATAGTGGAGCATTCAGTGGGTCAGGCAAGCGGCAGGAAGCTACAAGCGGGCATGCATGGGAAGCAAAGTGGCACTGTGCGCCTCAAAAGGGAGAGCTGTGGTCTCACTCTATGCAAAACAAAACAAAAAAGGGAAAATGAATCATGCAAAAAAGAAAAATAAATCACCCTGATAGTATATGCTCCGTCAGATACTCTGGAACTATAAGAAACTCAACAGTAAGCAGCTTGTCTGCTGAACGGAGTTTAACGAGAGCTGATCTGGCAAAAAAAAAAAAAAAGAAGGCAGCAAGCAAATTAACTGCATAACGACATAATTAAACAAAACCATAAATCAACATTGGCAGGGAACCTTAATGGTTGTGTATCTGCATCTTCTCTGAGGAAAAAAAAAGCATAAAAGTTGAGGAAGAGTAGCTTTTCTTGTTATGTACAAATCGCTGACAGAACCTTCACAAACATGTGGCCCAATTTTGAAATAAAACATGTATGAACTTGTCTTTGACCCTTATTGGTTTAGCTTTGTGTTAAAGAAGAAAAAAAGTAAATAAGGTGGGGAATAATAAAATAAATAAAAAACAAAAACACAAGAACTTGCAAGTGCAGCTTATTAGTATCTGTGCAGCAACTATACCTAAGAGTTCTTGGGCAGCACCCACAAAGTCTGTCTTTGTGTGCATTTTCACTACTGGAATGGTGGGCAGTAGAGGAGACATAAAAAGATACAATACAGCAGTGGAAACAGTAACAAAAACATGATTTTGTGCCATAACATGATGCCAGTAACACTTTATCATAACTCGAGTACAAAGTATAAATTTGTTGATCTTCACCTTATATGTTGTCTTTTGCTAAAATATTTTGATGCAAACTTTTAAGTGCAAATACACAACAATTTGTTACCTTTCCGACCAAAAAAACTGATTTGATAAAGTGTTTCTACATCATCCATTATTTAACATGTTCTCTTTTCCAAAACAGTCAGGTGAAACTCAAGCATAGCTCTTAAAGTGTTCCAAAGAAACTCTGTTGAGGCGATGCTGGAAGATAGGCGGGTGGGCGGGGTCAAAGAACAGCTTCTTTGTGTGCTTAGGGTGGCCAGGTGTCCCTCTTTATTGGAGACTGCATAACAGTTTAAAACCTTATCGCGTAACATTCAAAATCTTCTATTTTTTTTAATCCGACGCTGCAGAGCAGATGCACAGAGCGACGGGATTTTTAAGTTGAGTAAATGAAAGACACTGGTTGGTAGCAAGTAGTTACTTAGTAACATTTACTGGAGCACCGTTTTAGATAAAATATACTTTCAGGACTAATTTTGCTGCAGCTACTTGTACGTTACGTATAATACACAGTATACAACCTTCAATTGTGTAATATTATTAGAAAATATTCCTACTCGAGTTAAATTTAAACTCATTTAATAAAAACTGAAATTTTTTCGGCTTAAAATGCACCAGAGAGAAACATGCATACCTTCAGTTTATGTTAAAGTGAGAATTTTTGTTTGTAGTACAAATTTGCGTAGATTTAAAGTTTGCCATAAAAAAACTTGACGGACCTAAACAAAGGTAAATTAGGTAAATGTTTACAGAATAGTTAAAGCTATAGGAGATCAGAAAATGTTATGAACAGGTAAAAGCAGACGATCAATAGTCCGGGCATTGTTTAACTGTTTTAAGTTTGGTTTGTAAGAAAAAATATTTTGAAAAACACTTTAAATATCTTTTTTTTATTTAATACCAGAAATTCTAAACAAATATATTTTTATCTGTTTTATTACATCAGTTTTCAATATTAGTCAGATGCTATGATTAGTTATTCAATACTTGAGAACCTTTTTACTGTATTATTTTTTTTTACTGTGTAATTTCTTAGTTGCCTACTTTTTACTTCTACTGTACTTACTTATGCTAACATATGTTGAAGTAACTCTGCTCTTTCTTCAGTGCTCTACCCACATGCAATTAAAGTGGACAAATTGCAAATCTTCCCTTATTCAAACAAAGCAGTAAGGTGTTTTCATAAGTCCAAGTTTGCTATATTTTCAGATGTAGTTAGTAAATGTAGAAGCAAGAGGAATCTATTTAGATACCAACTTTTCAGAACTTATGGATGTTAGAGATATTTTTTTACAGTGAAAGACTACATCACACAATCCACTTTGGATATGCTGGATTTAACCATTAGGCATTGTGGCCAAATAGACTAAGTCTTTTTTTTTCTCCAAGCATTCCTTACGTCCTATAAAAGACTGCCCCCCTGAGTGGACAGCCATATTGCCTGTATCAAAAACTATTCTAGTCAGGCATATTGTACAGTATTTTAAATTATTTTTCTTCTAAGCCTAAAATGGGTGACCCTTACTTGCATTGGTCTTTTACAATTACGCTACCTAAGCTTTTTGGGGTAATCACCTTGTTATAAAAAGTCAACATGTTTTGATTTAAACAGTTGAAGTACTTCTGTGTTGTCATTTATCTGTACAAAAACTATAGAGCAGTAACAGCTTCATACCAAACAGTGCATCATGCTGTGATGCAGTGGGAATCATATCAGTCTCAAACTTTCAGCTCTGAATCACACCTCCAACATAAACATAGTTACACCGACAGTTAGTTGGGATCTGGTCACCCTGTGGATATCAGGTGAAGATGAACAGTGGGAGAGGAAGCAGAGTGAGCTGATCTTTGAGCAAGAGAGCAAATGGAGCAAGACCATTCTTGAAGGAGGCACTTATTGCTCGGCCACAATCGTATCCAACACGGCAAACAAACACATCTGCACTAGCACGTATGTGTACTTTGCACACACTCCCCCAAGAAGAGTGCCTAAGCAGCATCTAAGAGCAAAATTGAAGTGAAGCCAAAGGAAGGTGAGAGAGGAGAATGAAAAAGAGATCATTTCACAGACCTGGGTGAGGTTTCAGCCTGAGAGTCTTTCCTGTAAGAAGAAAATGCACAGACTTATAAAAGCTGTTTGTTTACAAGAATTAACATCAATCGGTGACACTAGAGTGGAAAAATTGAAAGCACTACAAACAGATAAAACAAATTAAATGTATAACATAACTGTGCAATAATCTACTGTACAGCACAACATGTGGATTGGTGGCATGTTGACAGACAAACATGCCAGCAGGGGGCACTAATTCACTTAATGGTGAATGTGTGATTGTGCCCAAAAATATGCTCAGATCAAATAACATTTTTCCACCTCTAAAGCATGATAATGGTAGCTTCATGATTTAAGAATGTTTTGCTGCAGCTGCATTTTATAAATGGATAGGAGTTATTTCTCCGTCTTAGTTTCTCTAAAGTCTTAATATAAATTAAATATTATATTCTTAAAGGTGTGAAATAAATACACTTCAAAACTGATCTAAGGATAAGTAAATATTTCTTAAAATAAGTGTATTTTCCCCTAATTCCACCAGCTAAATACAATGATTTGCCAATGAAATTAGTGTTTTTGCCCTTTAAATAACATTAATCTTATCTGACCATAGCTAACGGTCCGTGGAAAGGTTAGCAGACTCGTTTACATTATTGCAGGCGGACCATAAATGGCCCTTTTTCCTCACACATATCTACATATACCAGTAACTGATTTGCATGTAAGTGGTCTCTAACTGTAGCCATGTTTCCATTTAACTGAAATGCGAATTTTAGTCAAACTTTTAAAAGTTTGGGGAAAAAAATAAATATGAATTTGTGGGGTTTCCATTTGGTTTAAAGGGAATTAACAATGCACTGCAAAGCGTAAGGTTGTCATACAACACCATCCATAATACAGCATCACCAATGTCTGTAAAAAACAGGAAGTAGAGGCTGCAATCTACCACTGAGTATAGGTCAGTAAATCAAGGAAGGTTTTAATGAATATGTTGCTGTCAGGCAAGTTGCTTTTAAGTTAAAATGTCAACTAGTAAAGGCGAAGTTTGTTCCAGCCATGTTTAGGAACAGGAATATCTGGGAAGATCCAAACAGCAAAAATGGCTGATCAGTTGTTTGAGCATTGATCCTTTTCGAAATAGCCCCCCCCCCCCCCCCCCCCCCCCCCCCCCCCCAAAAAAAAAAAAAAAAAACACTCAAGTGTAAAATCTTTTTTGCAAATAGTTTTTTTTTTTTTGCCATTTCCATCAAGCCTTTCTTCAAAATACATATTAAAAGAATCTGATGGAAACCAACCTCATTACCTGCTGATGTTGAGGTATATCTCTGTGCTGTACTCTTTAAAGGTGGTTATTGAAGAGTTTCTTTCCTCTGTAAGGCGCAGCCATGATATTCATATGGAAAAGTGGTGGAACAAGTAAAGTTAACCCTGCTGCTGGGATTTGCTATAAAGCCATGACACCCCCACATCTTTTCCTCTTTTCCCCATGGATACAGTGCAGAGCCGCATTGGGCAGGCTCTCACCTTAATGTCTGTCCCTGCAAACTGAGGGATTGTAAGTTCTCCAAAATATGTTCAATGTAAAGTCTGACCTGCAGCCTGCTTCCCAGAACCAGATAGTTGCAAAAATTAAAAAAAAGAAAGAAAAACAATCTATCTGCACCTTTTCTCTTTCTAGTAATCATCGGCCGTAAGTCACAACAAATTCCTCATCATTCCTCAAAATGGAGATCAACAGCTATATAATTTGGGTTTTTGATTATTTCTGATTAATGTTTAACTGGGAAGCTAATAATGACCACATGCTAGCAGGACGACAAGCTAGAATGTTTTGAACAGTTGTATTTGATTATAAAAAAGTTTATTTAAAAGAAACGTCCGGTCATATTCAGAATTCAAATTTCTAAAAGTACTTTAAATACAAAATTATTACAAACTGTGCAATAAATGATAAGTGTTTTTAATTAAGAGTAATTTAGTTTGAACCGAGCCCCTTCTGCTGGAGGTTTCTTCCTGTTAAAAGGGAGTTTTTCCTCTCCACTGTCGCTACAAGCATGCTTAGTGTGAGGGATTGCATTCGAGTCAATGAGTCGATGCAATCAAATGGTTTTCCTTAGATAGAAAACTTTGAATTAATTTGACTGGATGATCCGGTGAACTGTAAAGTGCCTTGAGATGACTTGTGTTGTGAATTGGTACTATATACCGGTAGATAAATTGAATATAATTTACTGGAGGCATCCATGTTTGTTAGAGAGCACTACTGCCACCTACCGGTTTGTGACTCACAGTGTGGTATCGGCTGTTGAGCAAGTCCCAATGCTATATCTGGTGTTTGTCACAACGCGCTATTATCCAAGTCATCTTGAAAACATTCTTCTTCTAAATGTTGGCTACATATTATGTATTTTTTCTCTGGCCAGAAGTTCGATGGCAAATCCTCCCTCTTCAAGTTGGCAATCCAACGACAAATCTGTCCGTGGTGGATCATGATTCGGAAAGGTGAAATTTCAATGGTGAAGTCTCCTGGAAATCTTCAATAATTGTTGTTGACGCAGATGTATCTAGTAGTTGCCATTGATTTTGTGTGTAAAGCGGGGAGAATGGCGCTAGGCTTACTGCACCATGACATCACTGCTGGAAGATGGCAGGAGTGAGGTGTTAGTATATTTGGGCAAAAATGGCTCCTAGACTCAGTGATCACGTCTAAAATTATTATTTTTAATTTTTGTTACTGATTAATGCTAAATTGATGAAATCACCAGGAATTTATAAGTTATAGGAATAAATAATGATCCATTGATCAGTCCTTGCTGACTGGACTTTTCCTTTAAATAAGGGTTTAAACACTAATATGACATAGCTAAAGCTAGCTAAGCAAAGCTAAACCATCTACAATAAAGGTTGCTACATGTTTTCATTCCCTTAGAAAAATCACATCAGGTTGATAATTAATTATTTAATAATTGTTTTCTGATTTGGCAACTCATTCAATGCAATATCATTTAACTAAATAACGTTTTTATATTTTTTGAATCTGCAGTGTGAATTGGTTTTTACATTGCATTTTCTCTAAATTACTTTATTAATTATAGTTTATTTGACCTCATTCCAACCTCTTGAAAACAATCTTTGTTTTTCAAACATAAAATCCACTCTGAACTACTATATCATCGCATCATTGTGATCCATTTTCCTTTGGTTTTTTTCTTCTGTGTAGACCATTTAGTTTTAGCTAAGTTTCATCAGCCAAGTTAAGAATTATGAACTGTTTGAGTGTAATGTTTTTTTGTCAATAAATTTTATTTTAATTAAGGTTGTGAATTTATCCCAAATGTGTGGATAGTTAACTATTTGACCATGTTTGGAGCTACACACATGACACTCTATTTGAATAAATATATGAATAACAAAAAGTTACAGCTCCTCTCTTTCCAGCGTGTATGGAAGCAGGATCATTTTAAACCACCAACCAGTTTGTTTTTTCATAGTTTTAGTAGTTTTAAATGTTTTTATTACTGAGAATATAAATACGAACATTCAGTCTTTTATCTGAGAAGCTTTTTTCTTAAAGCTATTTACTGACTTTTGAAAATCAAATGACTTGAGTGTGATTTAATGTAGGCTGACACAGTCATGGCATTCTCATTAATATTTAATAAGTTGTCATATGTTGCTGCAGCCTTGAAGATATTCCAGTCAAAGCATCCAAAACAGTCTTGGAGTGTCGCCATGGCGCCCTCAGACCACACTCGGACCTTATATCTCCAAGCTCATAATAATTGTAAAACTATTGGCCGGATCTATCAAAGGTTTGCGTGTATAAAAACGTGAGCTATTTCACTGCGCACGCTAAAAAATGTACAAACTGATCTATCAACAGCGTGCTAAAAGGATTTGGTCTTTAAAACGTGCTAAATAGCGCCTCTTATCCATTTAGTACTTTTCCTGCAATGAATATGCAATATGAGGCGTTTACACGCAAAAGTGCGTCTTGTGGGAGGAGAACATTTAAATATATTAATTTAGCACTCGCAAAGTGATTTATCAAACCTAAAAACAATTTTGCTAACGGTATCTGACTCTATATTTAACACGTTTCAAAAGAAGGTGCAAATGGTCTGTATGCGTAATTGCGCACACATGGCAGCGGTTATTGTCGCAAGGAGACATCGAAATGAAGCAAGGAGACGCAGAGAACGCATTTTTTCACTCCATGTGAATATTTTTGGAATGAACGAGGAAACGATCATCAAAACATGTCGTTTATCCAGCATTGCCATTTTGGAGCTGTTGGGGGAACTCCGAATGGATTTGGAGCCAGCCACAAGGAGGACCCACGCAATACCAGATATCACAAAACTCCTTGCAACATTGCACTTTTTTTGCATCTGGGTCATTCCAGCGTACAGTTGCAGCAGGAGCTGGGATCTCCCAATCTCGTTTTTCAGAAGTGCTGTCCGACGGGGTCGGAGTTCTCCCCCTGCGCCTGTGGAGCAACATGCCAATGCTGCGGGGATGCGTAATCTCATCCACAGTCACTTCTTGTGGGCAATTTGGTATGTGCATTTTTCTACAGGCCATTACAAAACACCTGTTTTTTTGTTGTTGTTTTTTTTTTTTTTACTGCAGTGAAGTAGAAATTCAGCCACATACCACCTTAGGGATTAAAGGTTGCCAAAGTTTTTTCTTTATATATCACTGTAAGATTTAAATTTCTTAATGCACTAGCTTGTAGAAACTACAAACTACTTTGCCGCAAACCACAAAACGCGCAAAACCATCATTTAAATAGGGCATCTCCAACAGTTTTGCACCTGCCACCAGTTACGCAATTGCTCTTGTTAAATCACCCGCAAACCATGGTCCAGCCCCTCGCGCAAAATTCCAGTTTGCGAGCGCAAATTACTGCACGCAAAATTGGATCTTGATAAATCCGGCCCTATGTGTTTAATCTAGATGGATTGTTGCACCCCAGATTGTCCAATTGAGGTGAAATAAATATTTATAAACATTAAACCGAAGCCAAGAGTAACGAGTAACGGTTGTTTTAAAAATGTAAGAAATAGAAAGTACAGATATTTGTGTGAAAATGTAATGAGTAGAAGTCAGAAGCAGGAAGAAGAATAAGTAATGGAGTAAAGTATAGATACCTAAAAAGCGTGCGTAGGTACAGTAACGAAGTATTTGTTCTTCGTTACTTAAAAGGTCTGCCGAACGGTAAGTTAACTCAGTTCGCTATAAAGTCCACTGTATAGTCCCTGCTCTATATACTGTAGTGATAAAGGGATTTAGGGGCTAGGGCGGACATTCAGAAACAGTGGAGAGGGTCCTTTAAAAAAATTGGAAAAATCCTCCACTATACCTTTAATTGGATGTATATTTTTTCTAAACTTTTTATGCAATGGTATTGTGTTCATCTTAATGTGTTCGAGGACTAAAAGTGTGTTTTTAATGTATTGTGATCAGTACAGAATTATTTAGTCCAGGTTTAACTAGATTTTTTCCCTTATCATAATGTGACCCAAATTCTGAAAAATAACTTAAATGTGCTTCATGAGAGTATGGTTTCACAAGAAGGTAAGAAAAAACTCTGAAATCTTTAACAATGTTTTATTTCATCCTCTCTAACTACACATCTAATTCAGGTCGTATAAGTCAAGATATGCGGGTTAGGGTTAAGCGTTAAGAGAAAAAAGGGAAATTGTTTGTTATTTCGATTAATAGATTCTCATTCATATTAGCTGATTTGTTTGGAAAAGGCTTTGTTTTCTGTTTGTTAATTCACAAGAAGTGAGTTACCGGGGGTTAAAGGGGACCTATACTGCCAACTTTTAAACAAATTAGGACAGGTCTATACAAAACATGTTAGACCTGGTGGTTGTGCAGGGGTTAAGCATTTAACCCTTGTAAAAAGGCCTTAGTCCTTCATGTGACTGTCATCGGTTTGAGTCCCAACCTGTTGACCTTTACTGCATGTCTTTCTTTAGCTTCCATTTCCTGTTTGCCTCCTTAGATTTATAAATAAAACCTACAAGTACCTAAAAACTGCTAAAACAAGATGTTAAATAAATTCTTTGGACCAAATGCTTTTAGGATAATAAGAGTTCTCCTCTGTTCTACCTATGTTAAGCTCAATCTAGAATAAGCAGTTTTATTTCTGACACTTTTATTCAACTGAGCCAAAGCATATCTGGGCGCTGTTCCCCTCTGTAGTTTAACAGCAATCCTTTGTACTGAGCTTCATTAACTTTTTGCAGGTGTTTGAGCCATCATTTTGCTTTAAATTGCTAAATACAGATGCTGATTTAGGAACTCTTCACATCAGCCTGGCCTCATCTCCTCAGCATCTGCTCTGTTGCTGATTTGGTCATGAACCTACCTGAATGATTTTCCTTTCAGATTCCTCAGCAGGTCCAGTTGATTCAGAGGAGGGATGATTCTGTGAAAAGAGAGGTACAGCAGCATTGTGTCATCCTGTATTTCTTTGGCATTTAGCCATCACTTTTTCACCTCAAATTTTAACTTAAGGTAAAAGGAACACAGACCATTTCCAATAAGTCGGTAATTAAGCCTTGAAAGTCATAAATCTGCTGTAGAAAAGTTAAGCTAAAAGGCTTATATGCTGAGTCACAAGGCTGTATGTCAAATTAATTTCTCAAAGTGGCTGCATCAACAGTTGTCTGTTAAACAGACAGTTGCACAAAACATTTCAGAAAGTGAACAGACAGCTTGTGGGTCTGAATGCAACTTTCCTTCCAATATGGTAGCAGAATGTGATAAAGTAGAAACAATATTTCAAGATAAAGGATTTAAGGGAGCTGTGTTTTTAAGTTATCACGTACCTGTACATTGGAACAGCTACAGTCTGCTCGTAAAAATCCCAAGTGCACAGCAGATCTGTGCGGGAAAGGTTGGTGGCATAAAACCTCCAAGCAGCCTAAAGGAAAAGTGTTTCCTTTAGTTTTCAACCAAGAGGGAAAAAACAAACTTTATCTGCATACAATTGTGATGCATCATGAGTTTTATCTTTGACAGATACCTGGATTAGACCCGCTGCAGGGTTACGTCTCTTCTCAAAATGTTTCTGCCTGTGCTGCTCCTGAACTTTGAGGGCAAAGCCTGAGCCAAGAATCCCCTAATCAGAAAAAGAAAAAGTCCATCTTTAATCCGAAAAAGAGAGAACATTACACCCTGACATTATCAGATACAACAGTATAAGACAAAAAAAAGAAGTGAGATTGACATTGGAGTGACATTACTTTCAGCAATTGAAACAACAACCTTAACTGGTAGCAGTAGTTAAAATGATCCAGATGCCAGAGGATACTCCAAGTTTGTTTCTCCTTATATAGTCTTTAGGTTCAGAATATTATTTTAATCTCACAGAAGCAGGGAAGGTCTTTTCTGTTATCCTCTGTCTGCATATTCCCCACATAACAAACATGTTTGCCATCGGGGTGCAACGCTGCTGCAAATTGCTGCTGCCTTTGAGACGCACAAAATAAATCCACTCAGTGCCCTAAACCTCTTCATGGCAAAAGCACACGCAAAGTCCTCATTCAAATAGGGTGGTCAGCAGCACTTTGAAACATGTTATCAATTTTGCATTAACTAATTGGATTATCCGGAACATGCCCGCTAATTGCACATGCATTTTATTTGTTTGCACAAGCAATTTAGCTTTGTTTATTTAGGATCTTAGTAGATCAGGCCCATGGAGTAGGAATAAATTATCTAGTTATTCCTATAGAATATCAGCATTAACAGGCACTCAGCAGTCATCTCAATCAGTGCTATAAATGTGCTATTAAGCAAATAGCACTGGTTTTAAAACATTCCCAAGAAACCCACATACTTACAGCAGGAAGCGCAAAGAAAGCCACACCTATCATGCTAAATGCAGCTCCAAGCAAACGTCCATTCCAGGTTTTGGGAACTTTATCACCATAGCCAATGGTGGTGAGAGTGATCTGGTGAAAAAAGTATGAGTAAACAATAGAAAACATGAACATATCAGCTTCATATTGAGGTTATGTGATGCAGAGTTTCATTTTTCAATAATGAAAGTTTAAACAATTAAAAGACATTCTTTTTAAAAAGTCAGCACAATTGTTTTTTTTTTTTTTCCAAAGCCTTACCAGTCCCCACCAAAGAGCATCAGCATAGGTCTCAAACTCGTCATTTGTCTCCTTTTCCACAGAATAGACCAAGAAAGAGGCCAGGATGAGGCACAGAAAACCAATATACCAAGCTGTGATGAGCTCCTGCAGGGAGAAACAATGGAGTAAGCATAAGGGAATTTAAAGTAATAAAGTAGCATCAAGGAAAGGCAGCCAGGCTATGTCGGTTTACTGGGAAAAACAGCCAATCCATAATAACATTGGACACAATGATGTGAGCCCAACGCTCTGACTGGTGCTTCATAAATGTCTTTATTTCCCTTGACTTCACATTCAGGAGACTCTCCGGCTCAAATTGCTACATCTATACAAACACACAGACAGCAATGCAATTTCCACAACCTATTAGAGCAGGCAAACGAGCCAGTTTGAAATCATATTAATTGATTGCTATTTCCTCTCAATGGCAGAATGTTGTGTGTTGGAATGGACACAAATGAATGCAGTGGATTTTACTTAGATACTACGGTTTCAAACAGCACATTAGGATGTTAACACTCAGGCTTTTTGGCACTTAATCAAATGGAAAGACTCCACATTTAGAATGCTTTGAAACTAGTTAGTGACAATCAACATGATGGGGTTTGGTGATGCCTTTAAATTGGAAAATACAGTAAGAGGGGGATAATAATTTCAAAAAGTCCTATGGGCCAGAATTTCAGAAGGTTTGTGGGTCTTATAACAATGTGTTTGTACGTGCAGAGTAGATCTACAAAGATGGTGCACAGTGTGCAGACCTTTCTATGAGTGTGTGCCTTCATCAATATGCTGATCCTATTCTAATGACCAAACTGACCAAATCTACAGGTGGAGAATATGCAAATGTACATTTAACAAAATAAAAGTAATTCTTCAAATCTGAGACACAACTGTGGCCACAGTTTTAGCATATTATTTTTTTTGGTACATCTGAAAGTCAGGTACAAACTGACACAAAAATATCTGCAACCTTTGTTATCATTGAGGAATTGGTACAAAGATGTGGGATGGAGAGATATTCTCTGTGCATGTAAACATATTTGGACCATAAGAAACAAATGTAGTGCAATTTTAATATAGAAAAAATGTCTGCAGGTTGGCCATTAAAAGAAAAAGACAACTTTCTCATGTTTTTTTAATATATATACATCTTTTTATTCTATATAGCAATAGCTATTTCCAATATTTTATCTCTAGTTTAGTTCAAAACACTTAGAGATAGGCTACTTATGTAAAGTGCTCTATTAACTCCAACTACATGGCTTTGAACCTTTTCTTCTTTTTTTCGGCCCCTCTTAAACTGCCTGGGGAACATGGGAATTTTGTAAAATGGAAAAAGCAAGGAGTTACTGCATTATCCCTACTGGATAATGTTGGGTCAACAGGACTTTCAAATAAATATAGTCAGTTCTGTCATTTTATGAAGAAAAAAATGTCTTAAGAGAATGTCTCAACAATTACACAAATGTTTATCAAGGTTTCTAAATCAAAAATACTTAGGAAAAATATTTGGAGATCTTTCTTGGACTCTAGGTGAATTAAACAGTTATGTTAAGGAGAAATGTGAAAAGGAGATGGGAATTAGTATTACATCCCAGAAGTGAGAGACTGCCTGAAACACAATACACTATAAACGCACATGACAAGATAATTCTCCTGGAAAAACTTGATCAGGTTTTTTTTATTGCTGAACCAGGTATGTAAACAGGTATGCATGCTTCAAGTCTGCCACCATCATTCCGGTCCCAAAGAAGCCTCAGGTCACCTCACTTAATGATTACTGGCCTGTCACACTGACTGCAATCATGATGAAGGGCTTTGAAAGGCTGGTTAAAGAACACATCGCCTCCAGTTTTTTTGTGTGTCACATTGACTACAGTGCGTATACAGTATTTTCATCTTTTTAGGCTCAAAAAGGCTCACTATTTCACTTTAACCATTTTCTGTCTTCCTCAACTCTTATCACAAGTAAAGTATTCTGTTTATTGAAATATTTTTTGAAGTTTTATGCCCAAGTCTGCCTTGCTAAGTATGCACTGTGTGATTTTAAGCGGGGCAAACCTGACTGTTTTTCCTTGTGATTGGGTGATTTTACTTTTTATTTTCCCCCAAATTGGATGCAACCGCATCTCTCTTTCTGTCGGACCTATGGAAATATTGCTGAATTTCTGCGTAGTCCGATAAAAACAGACATGGGGTCTATCTCACTCAGACCCACCTTGCAGAAAATCGTGTTTGGTGTATTTCTCCCCATTCATTCTTAATTCAAAGTGCCATGATCTCTTACGTATGACATAATGTTTTTTCAGATTGGACACAGAAAAGGTATTTGGTGTGTTCAGTGCTTTAATTCAAAACAAGTACCATATCTTTAAATAATTACATACTTAAAATGTTATCATATTGATAAAAAGCTGTGATATCTTGAAATAACAAGATACTTCAACAGTTTTAAATACAAAACAAAGTCCATACTTTTTTAATCAAATTCTTATTTCCTTAATATGTTCTTGAAAGCATTACTGCAACAAAATAAACTCACTTATATAAAGATATTGAGATCTTTCTTTTTCCAATAAGTCAAAACAGCTGCGGTTATTACCTGGGTCTTAGGGGATATTTAAACCTGTATCTTGGCAAAACATGCTGGCATTGAAAGATGCAACAATAATAAAAGCAATATAGATATTTAATAAAATCCTTACTGGGTCATAAGAAGAGGCATATAAATTGATTACAAAACCAACTAACTCTGTTATCTTGAAGCTCATTAAGCTTGAGGTATCTAGAAAAGATAGAGAAGCTACAACTATGATTCATGTAAAATAGCTGTATTGAGATAATGATCTATTCTGTCTTTTGTGATGAAAAAAATCCCTTTTCCTCTGTATGATGATGTTTAAAAAAGTTCCTCTTGACAAGAGCAGCTCCCTTTTTTGAGACAAGATGATTAAATTCCATTCAAATTCGGTGCTAGAATAGACTTTTCATCCCAAATGGAAATTAAATGTTGCTTTAACTAACGGGCATTTATGTAATGTTGTAGATGCTGATAACTGTAGACAGGAACCATCTCCTGTAGTTGTCTATCTTGCACCAGATTTTTGGGAAAATGTCTTACAGAAGACTGTTGTTGTTTAACAGTCTTCCTAAGAGGATGTTGATTGTTGTCAATAATGTTCTTCATTTTATGAGGAATTCTTCTTTGTGAAATCATTTCCTGAGATTCCAGAGGAGTTAATAGAACATGACCGGCGTTCTTTATCAGCTTGTTAATTTTTTGTGTGTCATTTGCTTATGTGGCAACAGTGGTATCGGATGAAGGAGTTTGCCCTGCAACCAAAGGTTATCAGTTCAAGCCCCGGTTCCGTTGTGTCCTTGGGCAAGACACTTCACCCTACTGGTGGTCAGAGGGTCCAGTGGTGCCAGAGTGCAGCAGTGAGCTCCAAGGCAGCTGTGGCTACAGTGTAAATTACCAACATCAGTGTGTGCATGAACAGGTGAACGAGTGAATGACTGAATGTATTGAAAACTGCTTTGGTTAAGTCCTCGGACTTCAAAAAGCACTATATAAGTAAGGACCATTTACCATTTACTCGGATTCTGTTACCCAGGCAGACGATTGCAGAAGATATCCTACTCTACACATCAGACTGATAGAAGATCTGCAGCATTTTGCTGCAAACACTGAAGGACTCAAACTTCTTCTAGAAAGCCAATCTGCGTCAGAATTGTGTCTCCAGTCAAGTTTGTTTTCAATTGTCAAAATGACAAGTTTGGCGATTAAGGTAATTTGTTTTTCAGGCTCTTAATGTTAAAATTATAAGATTTCTCAACTCTCATGATAAACAAGCTACATTCCTTTCAAAGACACACAGAGAAAATCATGTTTCATGATTCCTTCAGCCTGTATTTTAAGGAAATTCCAGAATATTCATGTTGAGGCCACAGCATCACCAGGATCAGAGGCTACCTGATAAACAGACCACTGTTTGTGAGACTGAAGGGTCGTGTTTAACCAGGTATTCTCATCATTACTTTTTTCCTCTGTAAACCTCTGACTTCCACTACCAGACAGATTCTTGTCATTTGCAGAAATTCTCTGAAGACTCTGCAATCTATGGTTTATTTGATTTTTACAGAGCAAACCATTTCTGACTTTCTCTCCGTGGAGAAGTATGCTTATGCACCCTCCCCTGTCTGCACTGCTTCAGCTCTGTCTGGTGTTCTTTTGGAGCCTCTTTTTTACATATCTTCCAAAACTGAATAATGGATCCGGTCAGCTGGTCTCTCAAAGCAATTGATACGATTTTTTTGACAGGAAAACAGGTTAAGAGGGAACCCTCCTGTCCAGACAGGATGTTTTTCTGCGGATACACAATAAACTCCTGACAGAAATGGAAGACTGTGTGCCTGAAGATGATGTCTGTCGAGGACATAAAAAATGGGTCTATAATTGGATTTTTGATAGCAGGATTCCTGCAGTTTGGAGTTGGTGGATACCTTGGATATTGCGAAATTCATGAAACGTCTGCAGCTATTTTGGCCATTGTTAGGCTGCCCTGCATTTATGAGAGAATCTGCAGAGCTATCAACACTTAAACTGAAATGTTAAGGCAGCAGAACAGGCATAATCTTGTAAAATGTTGTAAGCTCAGATATAGCAGGATGGACCATAATTTTTTTCTGTTGGGCTTGACCATGGTGAGACACCAGCAATAACTCTCAAGGTTTGCAGAAAAATTACCTCAAATCTTACTTCCCACTGGCCTTCAGAGGCATCATTTAATCAACTTTCCCTGTCTTCCCCCTGCCTTCTCTGAAGACGTTTGGGAACCTGGTCCATGTGAGGCCTTTGGTTGATGAGTATTACACAATATCATACTATTGTTATGCCATGAACTGAAATAATTTTGGACATCGAGGACCAGTGCCCATGTATCATCTTAACACATTCACTGGAGTAGAGGGTTAAGTTCTGCTCCACAGTGCTGCTGGCCTATCAAAGCTTCTGCAAACCTTCCCCCAACTGTCTCTATAAAGCCAGGCATACACAACGCTCTGATGCGGTCTATCTGCTCACACTGTATGTCTAAAAACCACTTCGGACGCAGCTCTGCAGTAAGATAGAGCTACTCAGACTCGTCTATCTGGAAGCCAAATGAGTAGAAGAGGAAAATGAAGCTCACTAAAGAGAGTGTGCAGCTTTGGCAATTTGTGCAATTTTGGCGGAAAGCCCTAAAAAGAAAAGGTGACAATGCATTTGGACAAAGACATGGCTGAGCAAACGTGGCTACTACGGTCTGTCGATTTTACAGATAAAACTCCAATTCACTCACACCCCTGCCATGCTTCTGTGTTTTCATCTGAGACAAAGAAGAAGAAGAAGAAGAGTCCTTGTTCGCGCTTGCGCACTGAGCGATTTGCCCACGATGGTTGACCTCGCGATTCGTGGACGGGGGTGGTCATGAGAGGCTGATCGCGCCTCGTTACCCCCTTTATACTACACAACGTACCACGCACGATCAGGCTGAAAGTCGGGCTGATCAGAAAATTCTTGCAAGACTGGAAAGTCGCATTGAAAAGAGCAAAAAAACGCACACTGTAAGCCTGGCTTAAGATACCTTCCAGAGAGGTGTGCCTTGGCCCCCCACAGAGTTTGAGAATAGTAAAACACCACAGCACACAGATTTCTCTCTCTTTCTGTGAAGTGAGTGGTGATGGTTGAAATGCCAGAACCGAACTGCTGCAAAACAGACTTTTAGCAACATTCCTTTTTGAGTTTCAGGAACTTGCAAGATGTTTTTATAATGATGAAGAGAGTGGAGGAGGAGAGCTTCCCTGATACAACTCAGAAACAAAGGAAACCCCCCTTGCTGTGAGGCTGCTGTGCTAAGCTACTAACTGCTAGACTCAAACTTTCCAAAACGGATACGTATGGGCAAAGGCATAAGGTTGGCCGCAGTTATTGACACATTCTAATAAATAAAGTGGCCCCCTTCATCTTATAAATGAGAGCCCCTGAATCTCAAAATTAAAAAAAATTCAAAATCCATCCATCCATCCATCCATCCATCTTCCTCCGCTTATCCGGGGTCGGGTCGCGGGGGCAGCAGCTTAAGAAGGGAGGCCCAGACTTCCCTCTCCCCACCCACTTCTTCCAGCTCTTCAGGAGGAACCCCAAGGCGTTCCCAGGCCAGCCGAGAAACATAGTCTCTCCAGCGTGTCCTGGGTCTTCCCCGGGGCCTCCCCCGGTGGGACGTGCCCGGAACACCTCACCAGGGAGGCGTCCAGGAGGCATCCTAAACAGATGCCCAAGCCACCTCAACTGGCTCCTCTCGACGTGGAGGAGCAGCGGCTCTACTCCGAGTCCCTCCCGGATGACCGAGCTTCTCACCCTATCTCTAAGGGAGAGCCCAGCCACCCTACGGAGGTAACCCATTTCGGCTGCTTGTATCCGCGATCTCGTTCTTTCGGTCATGACCCAGAGTTCATGACCATAGATGAGGGTAGGAACGTAGATCGACCGGTAAATCGAGAGCTTCGCTTTTTGACTCAGCTCTCTCTTCACCACGACGGACCGGTACAGCGCCCGCTTCACGGCAGATGCTGCACCAATCCGCCTGTCGATCTCCCGCTCCCTTCTTCCCTCATTCGTGAACAAGATCTCAAGATACTTAAACTCCTCCAGTTGGGGCAGGACACCCCCCCTGACCCGGAGAAGGCACTCTACCCTTTTCCGGCTCAAGACCATGGCCTCGGATTTGGAGGCACTGATCCCCATCCCGGCCGCTTCACACTCGGCTGCGAACCGATCCAGCGAGAGCTGCAGATCACGACCTGATGAAGCCTATAGGACCACATCATCTGCAAAAAGCAGAGACGCAATCCTAAGGCCACCAAAACGGATCCCCTCAACACCTTGGCTGCGCCTAGAAAATTCAAAATATTTATGCAATAAAAATTCCACTATTTTTAGACAATGGATCGGTTCACCAACCATTTAGGTCGTTTTTTTTCAACAGCTTTTAGCCTCTGTATAAAATGCAATAAGGCAAAGCAGGGTGTGTATAAATGAGAGTAAAACGTCTGAATCACCTTGCTGTGAGCGTAAACAACAGATCCGAGCAGCTTCCAGGTGCCTCCCCGGCGGTCCATTCGAAGCATACGCAGGATCTGTAGGAATCTCAGACTCCTGATGGCCGAGGTAGCAAAAACATTCCCCTGAGATCCTGCTGCCAGCACAGACACTGAAGCAATCAGTACCATCATGTCTGCAAAGCAAGCAGAGGATAATATTTGAATACAGCTTACAAGATTTGTTAAATGTAATAACTGGTAACACTTTCTTTTATAGTACACCAAGAACCATGTAATAACAGGGTATTAACACTATATTACTAGGTAACAAGCAAAACTTTATTTGGTATATAATTTCAAAGTAATTACATGCATATTTCATTACTATGTAACAATGGAGCCTTTTGCTGGGTAATTCCCTCAAGGTTACCACATAACAGTTTCTATTATTGGCCACCGCCTACCAATGGCTTACAAAGTAAATTGTAACTTATGATCAGGTAAATAAAGCATTATAAAACTGAACTCAAGTTACAGATAAATAAGAGTTGGGTTAAGAAAATTGGCTTGCTGTCTTTTAGGTTTGGTTTTCTGTTATATGTCAAGTAATAAACTGCATATTACTGGAAAATAACACATTCATTTATTTCTGTCTGTGAAAGGACTAAAAATGCTGTGGTTTAAATTAAAGGGGGTAATTTAAACCACAGCAGTTGCTAAAATTCTCCATGAAGTTTTCCTTTTTTGTTTTTTACCTAGTAATATAGTGTAACTTGCTATGTTATTACCATGTTATTCCATGGTTATAGATATACAGTTAAAGAAAGGGTTAACTAATAATTTTTATCAATCATAAATAGATATTGTCAAGTTTTCAAAGTCTTTGGCATCTAATCATAAGAAAAACAGATATAAAGATTAAAATGTCTAAACTTTGTTCTGATAGAATGAGTTAAAATAAATGAGAGCTTCACAGGAGCTCGTTTCCTCACCTATGACACAGAAAGGCTTTCTGGCAAATTTCAGCCTCCCCCTCCATCCTCTGTATCGACAGCAACATCCAGCAGCCCATATCCTCACAATGTACTCAACTCCAAACACCACAATAGTCACAATTTCCTGCACAACAAATGAAAATGAAATTAGGGAGTTACAGGAAGTCTGTGAAAAGAAGCAGATGTTAATAGAAAAGGCTTTTGAAAGAGATAGATGAGTTTCTTTGATTAAGAAAGAGGATTAAGAGTTTCAGGGAGAGTTGAACTCAGTCTAACTGTATATAGATAAAAGAAGAAACATTTTAGGAGGAGCTTTTTCCAGAGTCATTAGCAAATTATGAATTTATTTTACAGTCGATTTAATGTGTTTTTGTCATCAGAACTGGCATGTAACAGAGATTCTTAGTTTTCTATAGATAAGAGTTAAAATACAGCACATGTGACTTACCAAGATGTATAAGGCGTTTTCTGAGTTTTGTTTATACTCTTTGATGGTTGCAAAGACAGACAGGATGAGACAGGAGAAGACCAGGAAGAAGCTGTAAGGGATAAAATAGAGGATTAAAAAGTTTGTCACTGAAAGTAACTTGGGTTATTTCAGTTTTGGAAACAAAATGGTGTTTATTTTTTATTGTTCTCCAAAAAGAACACACACAGATAAAAATGCAAACATCAGAAGTTTTCTTTTACTGTTTCCACTGAATCCAACCAGGTGGCTGAGTTGAAAATCAAATGTATTATTGGAAACAGAATCTGCTTTACTGAATTAGGGGTTAAGTTCACCGTAAGATGATTGTCCAGGGTGTTACAATAATCTCTGTTCTGGACACCAAGTGTGCTTTTACATCTTTCTAAAAATGAAGCGTAGGCAAAGGTCAATATGTGCTCATTGTCTTATTTAAACAAATATCTCCAAAGTTCAAATAAAAAATAAAACTTACTAAAAATTAAGACTCTTTTTAACCAACATTGGCATTGTGATAAACTGCACGCATTAGGATTTTTCACTCCAGGGTTGTTGGTCAAGTCCATTGTAACAAGACTTTACTGTTGTTTGGAAAACAACACAATGCATAAATCTGCATCATCTGCAACTTTCTTCCCTTCTGAGTGGCAGTAATCCCACTTTAACCATATTCCTGCTTTATAAAGGGCCGTACTGCGAAAGTCAAATTGGGATATTTCAAATTGTAATTAAATTGAAAATTTAATTCATTATGAAATACCGTTTTTTTTAAGGTGTCATTATCATGTACATATTTAATGTCCTTGTATACAATGAAAAAAAGGTAAGGAACAGGAGTTTGGGAACATAGAAAACCTCTAAGCTTTTCACTTATTGTGCAATAATGCTGGTTGTTAGGAAAGTTCATGTTAGAGAAAACAAATCATAAAGCTTTAAATATCTACCATATGTCTATATCTTTCACTATAAATTCCAAAGTTGTCATACTCCTAGGCCTGGGTGCAGAGCGGTTTTTCCTTTTTCTCTCCTCAGCAGGGCTGGACGGGCAGGTGATCTTCATCTAGCTGATTACCACCCTTCTTAAAGGAATAGTACACCCAAAACATGATTAGCCTTCATTTTCTACTCACCCCCATGCTGAACAACACTCTGGAGTACTTTTTTGATATCTCAAATGCATCTGGAGATCTGGGAGGCTTCTTGCTGTCTGCTGACATTCAAATAATGGAGGTCTATGGTGCCCGAGGCAGAAAGGTCCATAAAAGTCCACAAAAAAACGTGTCAATATTCCTCCATACTGCTCGTCCAATGTATTCCAAGTGTCCTGAGTTGGTAGCGTCCATAATTTACTCGAAACGAAGTCATTTAGAATGTTTTTAGAGCATAAACAGTAGTGTATAGGATTTCCTCAAAGCGCGTTCACGAGTCTACGGAAACCGCGGCAGACCAAACCAGATGAAAGTGCGCATTCAGCTCGGCAAAGAACTCATGCTCTTCCTCAACACTGAAGTCCTCAGACATTTTTCTTTCGTTGTTTCTTTCTTTGCACAGGTAAACAGCACATTTCTTCTTCTACGCTTGCATTATCGGCAGAGCAGACGCTGAATGCGCACTTTCATCTGGTTTGGTCTGCCGCGGTTTCCGTAGACTCGTGAATGCGCTTTTAGGAAATCCTATACACTACTGTTTATGCTCTAAAAACATTCTAAATGACTTCGTTTTGAGTAAATTCTGGATGCTACCCACTCAGGACACTTGGAATACATTGGACGTGCAGTATGGAGGAATATTGACACGTTTTTTGTGGACTTTTATGGACCTTTCTGCCTCGGGCGCCATAGACCTCCATTATTTGAATGTAAGCAGACAGCAAGAAGCCTCCCAGATGTCCAGATGCATTTGAGATATCAAAAAAGTACTCCAGAGTGTTTTTCAGCATGGGGGTGAGTAGAAAATGAAGGCTAATCATGTTTTGGGTGTACTATTTCTTTAAGGAGCTGGAACCAGGAGGAGGGCGTCAGTTCGTTAATGCTCCAGCGTGGTACAACTGATCTTTTACCAAGCCTTGCTTCTAAGCTTTACCTTATTCTAACCCCACGCTCTGTTTGCTGCTTTTCTCAGAACCCAGGATCCCAAGCCTGAAACCACTCCTCAGAGACCTCTTTGCTCTGGACTTCTGTCAAAGACGTATCAGTCAGCCTCCAGGAACCAGTGAGGCTACGGGCCTCTGAACAGCTTAAAGCCCTCCTGCCTGAGCTTACCTGCCTGTCCACCCTCTGACACCACCATCAGATCTCACCCAGCGGACCTGCACCATTCGCCTGGACAACTGGTCACCATACTCCCAAGACAGACACCAAGCCGCCCTCTCTGTGAGTCACAAAATCCCTCACTTTTCAAACCAGCACCGAACTGTTGCTCACCTGTCACTAAACCTCTTCCAGCAGAACCCAGAAAACCCTGCCAGCCAGACTTCTTTGTACAGCCTCAAACCTTCAATAAAAACCCTTAAACTGATTCTCGCCTCTGTGTATTCAAAGTCTGTAAACCTAAACATGACAAAAATACTGTATTGTAAACACCTGTAACCTTATTTTTCTTGGTTTTTTTTGCATTTTACCTTCCAAAATCCAGACTTTCTTTGTTTATTTATATAGTCTCTATCCAACATTATGAAGTTTTCATTTCGACTTTTGTTCATTTACCAGTTTTTTATGCATTACTTTTTCCTGACCATGAGAGCATATCGACCAGCATGAGCTTATCAGCTAAGTACTAAATGAATAAATGAAAGTCATGTAATGAAGGAATGGGGTAAAAACAGCAACACAGGAAGTCAGAAATGTATCCTCCTTCATCTGATTATCTACACAGAATTATTTATAATACCTTTTTTACTAGAAAAAAAACTGCTTGCTGTCTGTCAACATCTATAATAATTTTTTTTTCATTAATTTAGCTGAAGAAATGATGCAGGAAAAGGGAGGTTGCTTAAAAAAATAAACATCTATTTCTTTCTATGGTTTGATTCACCAAATTATTTGCTATGGATTCTCTAAATCCCCTAAGTTGTCTGTTTCTGACTTTTGTATCATGCTCTCCAAACACCTTAACTGGCAGGCAATCAGATGATTCACAGCCTGATATTTCCAGTCAGCAGACTTGTCACTTTTACTTTCCATCCTGCTGCCTGAATAAAAAGATTGCTTCGGTAGAATGATATCACTGCTCTGAGGTTGTTATCCTGAATTATGTGATACTTGAAATGTGATATTCCTCATCTAAGTACCTATGATGTCAACAGAGAGATTTTACAGAAAGGTAAATTTATCATGATTCAGTTATTAAAATATAAATACTGCAACATGTCCATAAAGGACTTGCAACCCAGGAGGTGGCATGCTGCAGGTCTGATTAAAAATCTTTCCTTTCTCAACCTTGCCAGGCTCATCAGCACCTACTAATGAGGAGACTCGCGGATAGAGGAGAGGGACAGAACCTGCCTCCAAAAGCTGTCCAACAATTAGCTCCTCCAGACGCCCGACTATCCATCACCTTATCATCAGCTGAGCACAGCTCTTAAAGATTTGTTTGAGTCTCTCCATCATTAAGTGGAAGACAAAACTATGGGAGGAAAAAAAACAGTTTAAAGTGCACCGCTGCATTTTTAATTTTTTTTTTTTTTCGCAGGAACACCAGCAGAAAGGATTTTAAGTTTTGTTAGTTTTATTTTCATTAAAAAAAACACGTTGCAATACAAACAGTAAACAGGCTAGCCTTGCTTTTAGCGTGTAGCCTAACATACGAGTTACACCTAATAAAGTCATACAGTTGTGTCATTTTTTTTTTTATTTGACCCCAAAAAATAAAGATGCAACAGACTGGCAACCCCCTAAAATCAAATTCTGTATTATTACTTTGATCTATATTTATTTATGAAAATAACGAGAATAGGATATATTCATTTTCTAATCTTTAAATTAGATTTCATTAATTTATTCAGTAATTTAAACTTTTTGAAATTATTTATCAGGGCATTTTATTATTTTAATGTGCATCTTAAAGTTTAATGGTATATCTGAACTTTAAATGATGTTTTAGATAAATAAATATATGTTAAATCTTCTTATTCTATCATGCATTTATTTACTTCTTTCACATGTATGTATTTTGATATAATTGGCACTTCATATACCTCAGGGATTACATCACAATGATTGTAAGAACAAATTTGTCAAGGGATTTATGAGTCTTTAAGACCCCCACTTTGGGAACCCTCCTATAGTGCATGAAGGATTTAATGATTTTTGTTTTAAAGTCACTAAACTATAGCTTCAAACTAGTGAAATCCAAAAATCAAGAATGCATTACACATGTTCTAACCTGGGATACTTGCAAAAATATTCCAGTATACAACAGGTAGTGAAACAGCAATACAGGTTTTAATTAAAATGTTCAATATTCCATAGTATTATGCAAGGTTGCCTAATTGAGAATGCATAATCAAACTTAAAATTAATATACTGGTGTTTTTTATATCATTATATTACTTCCTACTTTCTGTTTGGAGTTTCCTTGTTCTCTTTAAGAATTTATGGGATTTCTCTGGGTACTCCTGTATCCTTGTACAGAAATGAATGCCTGCTTATAAATTGTATAATTTAGAATTTAGAATGAGGCACACCAAGCAGGATTAAGTAAATATAAAACATGGATAGATTAATGTGAATTTCAATCCCATTAACAGCATAAAAGTAAAGAAAGCTTTCCTGTAATCTCACATTTATAATGAAACACCGACAATAACCTACTTATAATATAGGGGTTCATTTTTACTACTTCTTCACTACTCAAATCCTAAAAACCTGGCTTTTACACATGTATAAACTAAAACATAAAAAAACAGTAAGCAGCTAAAACATCCTGCTCTTGTTCAGTGAAGGTTTTAGACCTCAGGAATGTGACTGTAGATCACTCAGGCTGAAAGAGGGCAGTCGTTGCAGGAAGAAAAGCTTGCATTTCCTTCTGGGCTGCACATAGAGAAACATTGATTTGTCCCTCTCAGCACTATGT